CCCTGAGGCATGCCCCAGGACCTCATCAGCTTATTCAATCAGCTGCCCTGTCTATGTATTACTAGATTTCCACGCATGGGAAGCTGCTTTTCAGTCCAATGACTTGCAGCACACTCTCCTGCCATATGTGACTTTGATCAAGGAGTGGGGATTTCCCAGGGAAGTGCGCTAGCACGCTGCAATTAGCAAACCTGTTCAATGTTTAAAACGGGCAGTTTTCCAGTCCAGGGGGAAAGAGGAAAGCCGAGGTATATGAAGACAGGACGGCTGCCTGTGGTGATTTCTTGCAAAGGTTTATTTCCCCAATTTAAAAAGGCCCAACCCAAGGAAGTTAACCCATAACCGGGGTGAGGTTAAAGTGCTATATTGTCCTGCATTTTGTTCCATAACCGGGGTGAGGTTTTGTAGCTGAAGGCTCCTGGGCTGAAGATTTGGGGACATTCACAAGAGAATGCACAAATGCAAGGAACAAGACAGCGCACTCTCAGGGGGGAACAGCAACGAGAGAGGGCATGCCGGAACATCAAACTAGGGTGGTGGTGACGGGGAATCTCTTGGCTTGACCTTCCCATTAGCACGCCCAAGTTTAGCACTCACTTTATGCTAGTCCTACATGCTCTGCCTGCCATAGCTAGTCCTGAACAGCAGCCTTCCACTGCTCGAGCTGGGTGTTTTCATGGGAGCTTATAGGGCAGGGATCTTGGTGAGAGTCTTGTAACATGGCCCAGGAGAGTTCTATGAGGGAACCTAACATTCAGCTGTGACAGCACCAAGGCTCCCCAGATGGCTGGCTTACTGAGAGCGGAGACTGCTAACCCCATGGAGCAATTCACCCGGGGGACAGGCCCTGATGCTGCGGGAGCTATGGGAAGCCAGGTTTAAATCTCTAGTCCCTTCCCTTCCTTAACCCTTTCTTGCTGAGCCCTGGGGGACACTGAGGAGGGAGCCATGACTTAGCGCACACAAAAAAAAGGAAGACAGCCCAGTGACTCTAACAGGAGTGCCGCCTTCCCTCTCTGAACTGCCACAGGGTACTTACAACTCCGCTTCCTCCAAGGGCCAGGGGATCAGTTTGACGATACAGTGACCCTGAGACCAGGCAAACCAGGTGCCGTCGGGGGAAAACGCAACACTCCACGTCTCGCAGCTCGACTTCCAGTCGTACTGCTGGGGTCGCCCTGGCTTCAGCTCTGCCAGCAGTAGCAGCCCAGCTGGGGAACAAGATGGCACAGTCACTCACAGAGCATGCGACGGAGTCATCGATCCGCCCAAGACCACGTGCAGGGACGCAGGATGGGGCGCTGGGCCTCCCAAATTCTAACCCCAGCCATGACATCCCACCTGCAAGCGGGGGGCACGTCACTTCAGTTCCTTTTGTACTCCCACTGAATTGAGTGGGGCAGCAACGCCCCTCCCCCCCATTTTCAAGACTATAAGGACGAAATGAACGACGGAGTCATCGATCCGCCCAAGACCACGTGCAGGGACGCAGGATGGGGCGCTGGGCCTCCCAAATTCTAACCCCAGCCATGACATCCCACCTGCAAGCGGGGGGCACGTCACTTCAGTTCCTTTTGTACTCCCACTGAATTGAGTGGGGCAGCAACGCCCCTCCCCCCCATTTTCAAGACTATAAGGACGAAATGAAGATGTCCATATATTTTGAGAGCAAGCAGCCCCCGTTTTCTCCAGCCACACTTGGTGAGAGTTCCCACAGCGCAGGAAAGTACCGGCCTGCGAGGCAGGAGACCTGAGCTCTAGTCCCAGACATACAGCGACTGTGCCAGATTTGTAAAGCTGTTTGGGTGTGGAATGTTTTCAGAGCTCCAGAGAATGAGCTCTGACATTATCATTTCACATACTGACTGGTTCGTCCTCCTGGTAGCAAGGGCTCTGCTGTAAGACAACACAGTCTATTTGCTGATCCACTTTAGCGCTCACACGATTGACCACTTGAAACCCCATAGGTCCGCCCACCCACCCCAATAGCTTTGGCTCCTCTTCAGAAGCCTCAAGAATTCCTGTCTGAACTGGTGACGTGCAGCTTTGCATGAAGAGCACATGTTATCCATGGCCTGGATCAATACAGCAAGTTCCTATGGGGGGCAGAAGCTGGGCTCTTGAGATTGGATACATAAGCCTGCATCTCCCCTCCTCACAACACGTCTCCCCCCCCACACTCTGTTGTGCTCAATTACAGCATACATGGGAGTTAACCCTTACCAATAAACAGAGCACTTTGTATCAGAAGTCTATCACAGGAGTGTTTCATAAGGGCACTGGGAGGTAATTCAGTGAGTTCGGTCACATTGTATCCTATTAAACCCGCCACCTGCTGCACCACAGCTTTTAGAGCACAGATTCCCCTTACGCTGATGTGCAAACTAGATCAAGCCTCCCATCTAGAGTTCTGCGACTCACAGCAGGAGCTCAGCGTTTTCAACTGACCACTTAACCACAGGCCTCATTTGGAATGGGAACAGCAACAGCAGAGAAATAAACAACGAAGCAGGCACAGTAGAGTACTGTGTTACCCATGTAAATCTATTAAAAATAAAAGGAACATTTAAAAAAAGATTTGACAAGGTAAGGAAACTGTGTCTGGGCTTGTTTCATTTCAAATAAGATGGTTAAAAAAGCAGCGTTTTTCTTCTGAATAGTGAAGTTTCAAAGATGTATTAAGTCAACATTCAGTTGAAAAAAAATGTAACATTTGTTCAGAGTAGATTTAGGAACATTTCAGAGTTACCACCAACCTCCGCTCCCAAAGTGTTCGTAACTCTGATGTTCTACTGTACTTCAAGCCTGAAACGGAAAGAGGTCTTTATGTGGCAACACTTCCTGGCCAGCCGCTGAGCCAAACAGAGCAATGGTTTTGTAATATGGACAAACACGCCCTGGGGTGAGGCTGACATATGACTCATTCTCCTCTGTAAGCTAACCTAACCTTGACACCAGAACTCCATGACAGACAAGAATTATGCCTCAACACAGCCTAGCCTTCCAAACAGGTGCATAAATACCGGATCTGCTTGGGACAGCGTTTTGTACGCTACAGCAGTAATGTTACAACCCCATGTTTTAGCCATTTAGGCAGCCAGTAACCAGGACTCCAACTTTCTTGTTGCTCAGGTGAGTCAGACTTCAGAATACACGAATATCAATGTATCTCCCCACCCTCATCCCTCACAGGAGGTTGGATACCACCTCATGCTAAAGAACACCAAAACTCAGGATGAAAGGACCCCAAAATCCCAGCGGCATGGGTTGTAGTGGAGGTGCACATCCGCACGTGCCTCGGTGCACATAACATTTATTCTGCACACAAATGGAAAAAAAATTAGAAGGGACACTGTTGCCAGGGCTGGGGCTTAGACTTGTTGGGATCTAGAGCTCGAGCCAAAGCTTATATCCTGCCATACAAGATGGAATGGAAAGCCCAAGTGCTTCAGCCCTGGGTGATGGTGCTCAATGTACAGGCCCCTGCCTGGGGATAAAACCCTTGGCCTCATGCTTGGGGTAATGGGGCTTGGGCCCTGCAGCCTGGAGCAGCTGAGCTCAGGCCTCGGCCCCACTCCTGGGGCTGTGTAATAATTTTGGTTGTCAGAAGGGGGAGGTGGTACAGTGAAGTCTGAGAAGCTCTGATCTAGGACTTACAAATCAGCTGAGTCGTCTAAGGCCAAGGCTTAGTGTGGGACCAGAGGCACATCAGCTGCTGTATTGCCCACTGTTCCACTTCTGGGATGCCAGGCACAGTGCTTTTCTATGCTTCCCCTCTTCACTTTCACCCAACTCAGAATTTGAACCCAGCTCTCCAGAAACTAAGCTAGAGCACTCACATACGGCAAAACCAGTGATTGGTTTTATATTGCGAGGGACGTGCAGGTGAGAAGGTGGGGGGGGGGAGAGACTGTGCCCTTTTTTGCTACATCATGAGGGAGAGTGGTTAGTGAATTTTGAACTGCTGATTTCAGGAAGGGCGTAAAAAAGAATCCAAAGGGAATCCTCTCCAGTCCTCCCTGAGCAGAGTTTGGTCCCTGTGGGGCATCCCTAGGTACACAGGGGGGCAAGGGGAAGAAAAGAATTTTTAACCTGTGAGACTGTATGATGAAAGAGGCAGCAGGTGCACATTACATTATAACGCACCCAGGAACATTTGAGCAATCGGATCATTCAGTGGAATAGTCACAGTAACCACTATACAGAAGAGAGATGCTGTGTAAACCTGAACACTCCATTTCCACCACTCTGATCTGGGAAGGAACAAACCAAAGCTCCATTCTCAGTGTGAAAGACACATGAGCCCACTTTGATCCCAAACAGGAACAGCTACTGGTCCAGCACTCCTGTGCAGTAAGACTGGATGTCAGCGTTTCGTACACCACACTGAGATGAGAAGTGCTATTTACATGTTAACTATTATTGCACTGACAGTCAAAGTGTAATTGGAAAGTAGCATACTGCAGTGCTTGTGGTACAGTATCAGTGTGATTCTTGTTAGGGATGTAAGCAACTAGTCAACTACCTGATAAGCATATGCTTATCAGGTAGTTGACTAGTTGCTTACATCCCTAACAAGAATCACACTGATACTGTACCACAAGCACTGCAGTATGCTACTTTCCAATTACACTTTGACTGTCAGTGCAATAATAGTTAACATGTAAATAGCACTTCTCATCCCAATGAATTACAGAGTTTTTTAGAAACTTCAGACGCTGTCCACCACTGAAATACAGCCACCTCTAGGGTTCGTGCCACAATTGGGAGAAAACTCCAGGCCAAAACAGCCATGCAAGCCCCTTCTCACAAAAGAAACCCTGGGATACAATCAATACGTAGAACAGGAAACATCCTGACTGAAGCCCAAAAGCCACCATGGCCACTTGCGAGCGGGTGTGAAAAATACATTTGGAAGAAATGTAGAGCTTAACACACCATTGCAGCAGTGACAGAGAAGCTGTGAACTTCATTATGGCTTTTCCAAAACATGCTGTCTGCAAAAAAGAAAAAAAAAAAAGGACTACCAAATGTCACTGGTTTATAGCATGATGTTACTGGTAGGTTTTAAATACAAGCTGTATATTGATAAAACACCAGTGTGTGACATTTAAAATGAAGTTACATATCACCCTTTAAAAAATGAAGGTGAACGTGGCCTCTAACATATGATGTAAGACCAGGGCTACTTATTTGTAAGCATAAGGCCGATCTATTCCCTTTTCTCACCCTCTCCACTGCCTCCACAGCAACAGCTGCCCCCGAGAGAGGCTTTTCCACGTCAGCAGAATGAATGGAGTGGTCTCTTGAGAGTGATCTACACTAGGAAATTCACCTATACTGAAAATGATTTTTATCCAGGCTCCACTCCCCTGTGAATTTTTTTTTCTGGTCTACGTTAAACCATTTTCCATGCCTTCCGTGACTGACAACCGTTGTCAGCGTGGGTTCGGTTTCCTAGTGAAGACACGTCTGCTCCAAAGGAGCAGATTGCTACTGACAGAGCCACTGTGCATTGAATGGTTTAATGCAGTGATTATCTCTGCAACCATCAAGCACATCCTCATGGCAACACTGCTCGCAATAGAACAGGGAAACATTGCTTTGAACAGAACAATTTGCATTCAGCAGGCCTGGGCAGAGAACCTGCGATTGAAGTTAGTAGGAGAAATGGATTATCAACGTTCTTGAAATTCACCCCTGGAACCAGTGCATTCTGGACACCTGCCCCAGAGCACAAGCATTGCTTCCAGAAGCAGGGATTTTTTGGGGGAGGAATGAGGGGGTAATTGACAGTCATAAAGCCCTGACTGTAGAATGGAAATAAGACCTCCACATGAAGCAGTGCAAGAACACTAGACTGCACAGGCTCAGCCTCTACAAAGGTGTAGCCAATCATTTAATCTAAGCCATGTAAAATGCCTGAGACACGGTGTGCCCAGCCATAGTTTCCTGCAGAGCTTTTATTATTTTCCTTCCTCTTACGGCAGACAGAGCCTTGCTGAGGAGACAATCACATATCAAGCCCAGTGCACTGTACTAGCCACATAATTTAAGTGACCTCAAAATAACCCAATCAAAACATACCCTCTCCTCTGGAAAGGCTTTACCTGCTGCTATTCCAGATACCCCCAAGGCCAAAGATATAACAAACTGGTCTTGGCCTTCAGCCCTTTTCACTGTTCTCTCTCTCCACCAAACCACACGGTGCAGTTTGCTGATTTGTTGGGTCTTTCACACAGCGACAGGGACAAGAAACCCAGGACCAGGGGCTGAATAGAGCCACCGAGCACTGCAAGACTCCGCCCCACCCCCCCAGCCAATATACCTTACACAGAGCTGAAACGGACTTGGGAGCATCCATTGAAAATCCACTACATGCGTGCCAAAGGGCAGGCAGGAGCTCTCCACTACCCAAAAAGCCACACTGAGGTGATCCCCACCACACACATACCACTGTCCCCTGCAGGCCTGTATGCAGGGGTGTGTGAAGGGTGCAAAAGCAGCCCTCCGCCCATGATCCCCCAAGTAAACATACCCCAGCTGGCCAGGGGTTGGCAAGAGTGCTGCTTGAACCTCCCCTCCCACCACACTCTGGCTGGCCGGGGAAATGCTGGGGCTGATTTCCCCACTTACTTGGGGGACTATCAGGTGCATTCACACCCTTGCAGTCCACATTTTTAAAAAAGCAGCCCCCCCCCCTAAAAAATCCTGCGTAATGGACCTGCTTTATAAGAGAACCCTAGTTCAGTTTTTTAAGAAAGCCCACTGACTTGTTTTTCAGCTACCTTAGCCTTTGTGGGGAAAAAAATCTTATGAGGATTTAGCTTTCTGGGGTAGATCATGCATGGCAGGAAGGAGGCCAGGACATGCTAAATCAACCAGGACTCCCGGGCACAGGACAGGCTGTTTGCAAAGGCCAGGCCAGCACTGCTAGACTTAGTTTCCTGCAGGCTGTGTGCCTG